TGGCCGCTGCACTTAAGGATCTAGATAACGCAATGCGGAATGGCAACCAGGAGGCCGGGAAAAGGATTGGGGAGTTGCAGAGGGCCTTTCGGATTACTTGGTGGGCTACCAGGAATTTGGAGATTCTGGAAGCAAGGATTGAGTTTGAGGTTGCGCTCCAGATGTCCAGAATGGGGTAGATACATGCGTGATGGTTTGGTTTTATATATCCTATGGTGCCGGTGTTTTGTTTTTGTTCTTGTTTCCCCTGGGGGGGGGGGGGGGTTCTATCCTTGTACAAAAGCTTTTTTCTTCTTCCATATACTGCGTATGTTGCTCACTCGATCGTACCCTAAGTTGGGGTTCGTGCTACTACACTAGAATATCCTATCCCTTCTATTCTTTTGTTAGATGCGTTGGGGGCCCCTTCTTCTATCCTATCCTATTTCTTTCTATTCCTCTTTACTTCTTTTTTATTATATATTTATTACATACCACAGCATGCATGCAACTAGCGTGAAGGTTTAGCTGAATGCAAGGAGCGAAAAATCAAGCTCGATGATGGTATCGAGTGATTTCTCATGCAACAGGTGGATTATATGAAGGGCGGGTGGTGGGGACAGTGTTATATATCATACCGGTTAACGACACCTGTTTGTCTCCCTATTGATGCATAGGATATAGAAATACAGGTAAGTGTTAGGACCGATCATGAAAGCTATATATCCGCTATCGCGCTGATAAGATACACCGTAATAAAGAGTTGAAGGTATTATTCTACCCCTAAATAGCGAAGCCATGAAAGTAAGAAACAGGAGACGGTGGCAAGGATTATGGTATGGTACAAACCTACAAAGTCGGGTTACCAATTCGGGGCGTGGGGGGGTCATATAAGAAAGTACGGGGTGTTGGTACCTACATGGGACCAAGCTCTGTCTCTGTGTCGTGTCTACCACCTATTAGGTCTTCTGAGTCTGAACAGCTTCCTCTCAATCTGCCATGCCTCCTAGAGAATCACCTCCAGAGGGAGCAGATTTTCAGGACTAGCTAATATCCAGCGCATCAGCAAAAATAAAGACCTGCATCCTGTGCATTTGTTACGTCAGATACGCGGAACTCTGGAAAGCTAACCTTGATTCAGGACATAAGTGGAGATGGTAACCAAAGTCAGGATGTACATGATTCACAAGTGAGTCATGGCTCTCACACAGGTGACTTGTTTGAGTTATACGACTTGTTACAAGGCTTTTCATGAGGCTCATAGTTATGAGTCATCAAGGTTAGGGTTGGTGGAAGAGCACTATACAAGGAGGCTAGTATGGCCAAGGGGAATAGGCTCTTCACACTTTGTTCTAAGTAATTTCCTTATGTATTACTTTTATGAGCAAAACATCTTTATGCTCTTTATCGCTTTACATCTCTCACATACTTAAGGCAATA